AAGGATAATTATTCCAGATGGAAAGTCAGACAATGTAAGAAAGAATGAGGAAAATGAAATGCAGTAAGTCTAATTAAATGACAACAGCATAAAACAACAGAAATACATCTGTGGGTTTTAAAATACGCACGCATCTTAAAACATGGCCATAATGAAATAAGAAAGGAAACTGAATGTAAATGTTTTTAAAGGCCTTGCATTATTTACTGCATTATCTAGAAAAAGAGTGAAAGTCTCGATACTACATACACTGCAATAAATCAAGAATATATATTAAAATGTAAGTAAGCACTAAAGGAATAGTACAATAATATATAGTCTCAAGCTAAAAAAAGAGAAAACAAAAAAAAAAATTTAATCAGTTCAAAATACAGCTAAAAAAATTTAAAATGAACATAGAAAAGGTGAAGACAAATCGATTTTGAAATTATTATTATTATTTTTTAAACAGTCTTGATCTGTCGCCCAGACTAGAGTGTAGTGGCATAATCCTGGCTCACTGCAACCTCCACCTCCCAGGTTAAAGTGATTCTTGTGCCTCAGCCTCCTGAGTACCTGGGACCACAGGCACACACCACCATGCTCAGCTAATTTTCATAATATGGGCAACAGGTAAATACACAAAAAACATCTAGCTCATACATATATACCTAATCTTCATAAATTTTAGCTTGCACATCTATTCAATTCTTTTTCCATTGTGACTGACTTCAAAATCTTATTTTACCTTACCTAATCTTACCACAGATACGCCAATGGACATTAAATATCCAAAAACCAAACAAAAGAAACAAGAACAAAAAACCCAGAGAGCTAAATGACTGATAAATACTGCATTAATTCCATAATAAAATATTAGCCAGGGGAGTGGCTCACAAGTGTAATCCCAGCACTTTGGGAGGCTGAGGCAGGAAGGTCGCTTAAGCCTTGGACTTCAAGACCAGCCTGGGCAACATGGCGAAACTTCATCTCTACCAAAAAAACACAAAAACTAGCTGGGCATGGTGGCACATGCTGCAGTCCCAGTTACTTGGAAGGCTGAAGCGGGAGAATCACTTGAGCCTGGAAGGCAGAGGTTGCAGTGGGCTGAGACTGCTGCTCTACTGCACTCCAGCCTGGGTGACAGAGCGAAACCCTGTCTCAAGAAAAGGAAATAATAATAATTTGCCATCACTGATCTACGTTACATTACTAACAGCAAAACTAACACATTAAGAAGGTTAAAAATAAAAACCAATATATTAAGAAGGTTAAAAAAATAAATTCTTTCATTTATTTCATTTAAAATGTTAGTTTAAATTCCTAATTCACTAGCTGACTCAACAAAAGGAAAATTCTAGGATAAAACTCTTTTTCTACACTCACATGAATGTCAGCAAGACACAAGTGCAATGTGTACCTCCATCACAGAATAACTAAATAATCTCTTTAGAGCTAAGAACACTTAAGAAAACAAGACATGAAACTCCAGAGTAACTCTTGATCCTTCTGTAGGCAATGAAAACTACCTGCCCCTTATGGCAGATTTTTATTTTATGGTGGATTGCTACTACAGTTTTGTGAGAGGCGGTCCAAGCTCCTCAAAGAGAAAATGTAGTCAAATGAAACCGAGACTATCACGATATTACAAAGCATCTCTGTAAGTAAATCAAAGACTATTTCATTTAACATTTAATCCCAGTCTTACAGCTATTGAAACTAACAACTAATCCAATACAGAGTTATAAAAGTGGACAACAAAGTGTGTCAAGCATCACTTCCAGGTCTGGTGTGGATACAGACCAGTAGAATGACTCCCCTTCTCTAATGGCTATGGAATAAAGCTGAACTGCTTAATTCAGATGATCTGAGAACAGTGCCAGGAGACTTCTCTACATAACCAACAGTGACTGTTCATGGGCCAAGGGGGGAACTCATGCAGAAGCATCTTATTTAACCTTCCCAATAATCTCTTCAGCAACTGTGAACAAGCTCTTCTTGCCCCCTGAAAGTTTCCCACCCATCTGCCTCTTGTTTTCAAACAGCTATCTCCTCATCCTTCAGGTCTTACAGGTCACTTCCTCACAGAACTTGCTCCAACTCCCCCAAAACAAGTTAGGTTCCCTAGGTATGGGTTTCATAGCTCCCTGTACTTCACATCAAAGGACTCATCCCACATGTTGTTGAAAACTAAATCCTGGGGTACACAAAAGGCACTCAAGAAATAATGGTTGAATAAACACATGTGAATTTACAATCCTCCCCAATTTTACAAAGAAGTTGGCTTTTAAAAGTTGAGTCATTTGCATGAGGTGAAACAACCTGAAACTGGCATAGACCAGCTGAGAATCCAAGCCTCTGTGGTTCCAATTCCCATGCGATCATCTCATGTACGATATGGACATGTGCTACAAGTCGGACTCCTCTCCAATTATTATTCTTATAGAGACTTCCACGGTAAACACAGAAGTCACCTTTTCAAGGGAAAAAAATTAGTCTCTCAATATAATAAAATCATACCTGACTATGGACTATGCTTTTCTTTTTTTTTTTTTTTTTTTTTTTCCTTGAGACAGAGTCTCACTCTGCTGCCCAGGCTGGAGTGCAGTGGGTGATCTCCGCTCATTGCAACCTTCACCTCCCAGGCTCAAGCAATTCTCCTGCCTCAGCCTCCCACTGTGCCACTACCACTCGGCCAATTTTTGTATTTTTAGTAGAGACAAGGGTTTCAGCATATTGGCCAGGCTGGTCTTGAACTCCTGATCTCAAATGATCCAGCCACTTCAGCCTCCCAAAGTGCTGGGACTACAGCATGACCCACTGCAACCCATGGACTATGCTTTTAAAAAATCACAGCGAAGGAACAAACTATAACTTTCTGGTAATTAGAGGTCTGCACTGCACTAGTTACAAAATAAGAATGGTTACACTGAAACTGTGAACATAAACCAGAACTGCAATTACTTGTCTGTCTCTCTACCTGAAGTAGCAATCCTCATACAGCTCTCCTATTCTACTACACACTTTCTAATCAGAGTAATTTTGTTTGTTTTCAATTTGCTACTAGCTTGAACTCATTGGCCTCTTTTTCATCCATCTTAGCTGGCTACAAAATGTAATAGGAACTTGGCACAGATGTGCACATGGTGGCAAAGATGGACCAAGACAACCCTTGCTTGGCATTGAAGACTCAGGCTGGATCTGCTGGGATGGGTAGTTCTCTTCGTTCCCTGTAATACTAGAGAATGATCAGTCAATTAATAGCACCAGCGGCCGGCCGCGGTGGCTCACATGAGTAAACTCAACACTGGGAGGCCGAGGTGGGCGGATCACCTGAGGTTGGGAGTCCAAGACCAGCCTGATCAACATGGAGAAACCACGCCTCTACTAAAAATATAAAATTAGCCAGGCATGGTGGCATGTGCCTGTAATCCCAGCTACTCAGGAGGCTGAGGCAGGACAATTGCTTGAACTTGAGAGGCGGAGGTTGCCATGAGCCAAGATCATGCCACTGCACTCCAGGCTGGGCAACAAGAGCGAAACTCTGTCTCCAAAAAAAAAAAAAAAAAAACACCAGATAGTGCCAAATCTGACGCTTCTACTTTTCTACCTACTGGCTTGTTTAACCAAAGTCAAAGTCAGTCCCCAAGAGGAGCTATTCGGATGTCAAAACATTATTAAAACTGGTAGTGGCCTAGTCTTACCAGAAACAAGTAAAACAGAGAGTCTGACTGCATAGCTAAAAACTAAGTAGGCACCAAAACTGAGGCTCAGTGCCCATATTCTTAATGTTTGGCACATGTTTCTTTGATTGCCTTTGTAACAACTCAATTCTTTAAATATATAATGAGCAAAGGAATTTCTGTTAACTAAGGATGCCTGCACTTGCAATTAGGATTTCGTCCTTTAAAAGTTAACTCATACTTTCATTAATATAATTTTTTTTTCTATTTGGACATATTTTAATTGTCTATGTAGAATACAACATGGCATCAACATCCATTTTAAGTAACGAACTACACCATGTTTACAAATGTTACTATAAAAGAATGGCAAACCAGGAAATATTTTTGTTAACTTTAGGGTCTGACTGAATCAGAAATAAAAGCAAATAAACCACTGTTCACTTGCTACTAATTTATTCTTATTAAGATGACTTCAGGAAAGAAAAAAGAACACTGACTTCCCCCTGAAGGAACTTCCCAGAGACTCCATACAGGAGGGAGTTGGCCAGGGTGATCTCTAAAGTACTGCGTAACTTTCCTGAGCTACGAAATATGAAATACCTACCTCACAGAGGTAATTATTTTTATAAAAGGATTAATATAGGATTGAAACCATTTTCCTGCAACAAGCAACATGCTAAAGACGCCGTCCTCACTTCCCCCCCCCCCATTTGTCTCGCATTATTTCCAAAGACTGGGTATGGCCCCAATTCAACAAGCCTTCCCAGTCAAAGGAAGCATGCTGAAGTCTACTGTCTAAAAAGCATCTATCCGCCGATTAAATGTTGGGAAAGAAAGAGATAAGGGTGGGGGTTGGGGAGAGACAGCATTTTCAAATTGCAGAAATGTGCACCCATGGATTCATACACTTCCCGCACTTTCTGGCAGTAAAACACCTGCGAGGAACCGTTCTCACGCATTACAAATGCCGCACCAGCTTAGGGTTGTGAGCGCCAAACTATTTTGCAAACTTTGCAAAGGCGTACGGATTTCCAAGACTTGCAAATCCCTCATTCGCCCCATCCTCCCCTCGCCTGGTCGAAACAAAGTTCCGCGGCATCAAGGCAGTCATTTAAAGGCACGAAGTTTGCCTGGGTCCTGCCCACTGGGGCTCGGGAGACGCGCCTGGCCGGGACCGCGGCTCGCTCCGGGAGGCCGGCACCAGGTTCCACCCCCCCAACCTCCCCGCACCCCGCGCGGCGCCCCCCGCCCGCCCATCGCCCCGCGGACCCCAAGCTCCAGGCTCGGGGACACAGGGGCGGGCCCCGCACGGTGCTCGAGCCGCCCTCCCGGGCCCAGCCGCGAGCCGCAGCCGCGTCCCCTCCTCCCGGGGCCGGGAATGGCGGCGTCCGGCTCCCCAGGGCCAACTCCGAGTCCCAGCCCGGGGAGGACGCCCGGGGAGCCCGCCGCCACCGGCCCCTCGCGGCGGGAGCTGAGAAATGGAAGTTACCTCAGGAAGGTCCCATCTGCGAAGCTGGAGGCGGCGCGCAGAGCGGGCGGTCCCGGGCGGCCGAGCAGGTCCGGCGCGGCGGCGGCTACCGCAGTCCCCTCCGCCCCATTGTTTCCCTTCCAAGAGGATCCCGGCGAAGCCGAGCCCGGGAACCAGGAAGTTCCCCGGCGCGACACCTCCTGCCGCCGCTATGGAAACGGCCCCCGCCTCCCAGAGCGGCTCGCCCGGGACCCCGCCTCCGCGCCGCCGGCCCCGCCCGCCTCACCGGCCGCCGCCAAACGACGCCGCAGCGGCCGCAGCCGCCGCCATCTTGGCGCGGCCCCGGGCGGCCCCTTCCCGGCGGCACGTGCGCGCCGCTCCCGCGCTCCCGCCGTGCGCGCTTCCGCCCCCCTTGGAAACGCGCGTCCAGGACTGCAGGTGCTTGGAGCCCCTCGGCGGGAAGCATGCGCGGGAGGCCCAGGACCCAGAGCAGGGCTTCGAGGCATGCAAACGAGTGGCACTGGCGTGTCCAGCCGGCAGATCAGAGGATGGAAGAGACATGGGGAAGTCAGCAGAGTACGGGGCGAGAGCATAGTCTCCCAAGCCAGCCTGGCTTTTTTCTTCCTTTCTGACTCAACTGCTTACCAAGTGTCAGACCTTGGAAGCTTTGCTCTGTGCCTCAGTTTCTTCATCTGTAAACTGGGATGACAATACGACCTGCCTCATGGGGCTGTCCTGGAACAAACGAGTGCTTGGTAGTAAGTGCAAAGCAAGCATCTGCTCAATAAAATGCCATTGCTACTGACACAGGTCACATTGCTGTCATTTTTTTCAGGGACTTAGGCTAAGTGTTCACATCAGCACTACTTTAAGTAGGCTACGGTGTAGATCCCATTGCTGCTTCAAGCTTCTCAAATGTTCATCACTGTCCCATCTTTCTGTAGGTCAGCTTTCCTTTTTTACATCGTGGAAATTGTCAAGAGTTTTAATCTCCAAAGCCTCCCATTAAGGGGTGCCATAAAAAGATGAATGATGTCAACTTCCCAAAACTGAAATTAGCTGACAGTTAAATGATTTATTCAATCAAAGCTAGAAAAGTTAGGGTGTGCAAGTAACTCAAAGGCTTCCTGTCCTTGAGTCCAGGAACTAGAATTACTGAAGCTGGCAATCCTGCACCGTGGCTTTTATCTCTCTTTTCCAGCTAGTGAAAACTGACACGAAGAAACTGAATGCTGTGCCCAATATCTCACAGTAGGGGTGGAAGGAGGAGGCAGGGTCACAGGCCTTTCGCTAGTACCCAAGCTTAAGAACTGTGACTCCAATTAGGTTTTAGTTGGTCTCCAAGCCTCTTTCTAGCTCTCAAGTATTGTAATCTTAACGACAGGGCAGTCTGAGAAATTCTTCCTTAGGCAGTTTCGTCATTGTGCGAACATCATAGAGTATATTTACACAAACCTAGATGGTAGAGCCTCCTACACAGCTAGTCTATAAGGTATGACTTACTGTTCCTAGGCTACAAACCTGTTCAGCATGTGACTATACTGAACACTGTAGGCAAGTGCAACACCATGGGAAGAATTTGTGTATTTCAACATAGACAAGGTAACACATTGGGCTATGTTACCATGGCTATGACATCACTAGGCCACAGGAATTTCTCAGCTCCATTATAACCTTAAGGACAACCAATGTATATGCAGTCCATCATTGACCAAAACAATGTTATGTGGCACATGACTGTGTATACACTGTAAAGAAAATACAAGTGTCTACTTCCCTTTGGGGCTTCTTTCATTCGTTTAAACTGGGTTTGTAAAGGCTAGTATTAGTTTTTATGCCTGATACAAAAATGGCATAACTCATTTAATATATGAATTGAGGGGCTAAAAGCACACTAGAGTTAGAAAGAAATAGGAAATCTTTTCAACAACCAAATACTTCTCCAAAAGTTACAGGATTCCCAGGCTAGAAATCACCCAGTTTGTGCTATTCTCAATTCCTGATGGGCAAGAGCCCTCACTCAAAACTCTGTAGCTCCTGCGGGATCCAGCAGACTGCTTTCCATGTAAAAAGTCCTCAGTAAGTGCTCACTGAATTAAATTGCTATGATTGTGGTCTCCCAACACTTAAGGAGACCTTGGAACCACAGAGATGCTCAAGAGACATCAGTCTTGGGAGGCCAGGGTGGACAGATCACTTGAGATCAGGAGTTGTTTGAGAACAGCCTGGCCAACATGGCAAAATCCCATCTTTACCAAGAAATACAAAAATTAGCTGGGCGTGGTGGTGTAGTCCTAGCTACTCAGGAGGCTAAGATGGGAGAATCACTTGAACCCCAGAGGTGGAGGCTGCAGTGAGCTGAGATTGTACCCTTGCACTCCAGCCTGAGCAACAGAGGCCCTGTCTCAAAAATAAAAATAAAAAGACGTTGGTCAAGGGACACAACTGCAAACATCATGGATAAGAACCCCAAGTCACTAGTTAATGAGTTAATGAGATTTTTGGATGGACAACCCTGTCTCTGGGCTTACTTGGCAAGATAAACTGGAAATTTCAGATATGTTTTTTCCATAAATTATCTGGTTAATTTTAAAAACACTGTTTTGGACTTGATTATGAGCATCCTTGTCTCAACTGTATCCTTTCATAATAACACTCTGACTCTACGGCATTATTACAGTTCAGAAATCCCCCAATTTTTTTCCCCAAGTCAAAATGTCAACCATGTCATCTCACCTGTACTTTGTCAATCCCTGCTCTAAACAATCACAGCTTAATTATATTCACTCTGTGATTGCATTCACTCTAACATGTCATGCCACATATTAAAATACCCTTCAAATGAAGACAGGGTGAAAGCTCTATAGTAAAGTAAAGCAAAGTAAAAAGAAGTATGGTCTAACGATTTGTGTTACCATTTAAAACATTTCACAAATATCAAAGTTGAGGACCACCTCTCGTACATCATCATGGAATAAGAGAGTTGAATATTTCCATTTCAACTTTGCAAAAGTTATGTGTTATGCTAATGACAATATATAAAATGTTGCCAGTGGTAAAAATACAGGTTTAAATCCCCCCCCAGGAGCCTATAATAACTACGGCCAGAAGTATAATTTGTGGTGAGGACATAAGAACGTAGAACATGGAGGAAAAAATTCTCCAAAGCAAATTATCCTTCACTGTCATCTGCAAAATATGGATGAAAGGGTCAGTTCTTCGAGTCTCCCATAAATTGAGACTTTGAAATATGAATCCATGGCCATTTGATCCATTTAATTTTTTTAAGAGAGGTAAGCAGATAGTTCCCTAAGGGAAGATTTTTTTTTTTTTTTAATAAGGATGTGGAAAGCACTGCAATGCTCATATTCATGCTCACCAGCCATGGTAATTTCTGAAATCTCATGAGAAGCCAGTGCTCTTCTATTGATTAGAAAAGTCACCTCCAATGAAACTGCATGTAATTATTCTTTATGGATGAAAAAAAGATCAGCATCTGTGTATAAATGAAAAAGCAATGGGTAACCAACAGCCACATTCACACTGCTCATACACAAAGCTTTTTTGTTTTGTTTTATCTTTGGTTTTTTTAGATGGAGTCTCACTCTGTCGCCCAGGCTGGAGTGCAGTGGCACGATCTGGGCTCACTGCGACCTCCACCTCCTGGGTTCAAGTGATTCTCCTGCCTCAGCCTCCCAAATAGCTGAGACTACAGGCATGTGCCATCATGCCTGACTAATATTTTGTGTTTTTAGTAGAGACAGGATTTCACCATGCTGGCCAGGCTGGTCTGGAACTCCTAACCTCAGGTAATCCATCCACCTCGGCCTCCCAAAGTGCTGGGATTATAGGTGTGAACCAGCACACCTGGCCCAAAGCCTGTAGTTTAAAAGATAAGTTATCTATTGCAGTGTGAGGAAGAGTAGCCCATGGAAGGGCCGTGACCCCATATTATGGTAAGTAACACAGTTTGTTACTTGTAGCCCTGAGGCTCTCTTACTTACTGGTGTACTGCTTTCTTTCTGACTCCCTATCTTCAGAATATACATGCCAGGAGACTGGGGAACTTATCTGTCTTCTGCCCTTCTCTATTCCATGCTCCAGATCAGTACCTAACACAGAATTAGCTCCCTATAAATATTTGTCAAAAGAATGAAAGGAAGGAAGGTGAGAGGGAGGGAGAGAAGGAAGGAAGGAGGGAGGAAGGCATGATTGAAAGAAAAAAAGAACAAAAACATGCAAAACATGTATGTTTTCTGGGCAGAAAGTTCCTAACTTTTTTTTGTATGCTCAAAGGGGTCTGTGACTCAAAAAAAAGAAAGAAAAATTAGGACCGGGCGCGGCAGTTCACGCCTGTAATCCCAGCACTTTGGGAAGCCGAGGTGGGCAGGTCAGGAATTCAAGACCAGTCTGGCCAACATGTTGAAACCCCGTCTCTACTAAATATACAAAAAAATTAGCCAGGCATGGTGGCATGCACCTGTAATCCCAGCTACTTGGGAGACTGAGGCAGGGGAATTGCTTGAACCAGGGAGGTGGAGGTTGCAGTGAGCCTAGATCGCGCCACTGCACTCCAGCCTGG